GTACCCTCAAAGGGTCTGGAAAACCTGGATGCCGGGGAAACGCAAGTAGGCGGAAGGTTGGGGGCACGCCCCCCAAAAAACATTGTTGGTCCCCCCAACTGTGGTTTGTTAGTGATTTCCTTGGGCGCGGCGTTTCCGAGCGCAACTCTTTAGTCTTGCATCGTAGATCCAAGTGATTTTGTGAATAGCTGCCGGATATAGTCTTGGGTCGAGGCGGGTGGGTACGGCCTTAGAAGGCGTGGCTGGGAATTCGACAAAGGAGCGGGCCCATGTATTTTTTGGGATTTAGAAAACTCCGCGCGTGGAATCAAAGACAATTCAGTGCAGGATTTGGGGCATATAGAGTTTAGGCAGCAGGGCTTAGGACGTGAGGGTATTCGAGATTTTGAAAATTTGTTTCCTCTGTATAATTCTACTTCTGGTTCTGCATCGCAAGTATGTACGCATTAGATACAAAAATCCGAGAGAAGTTTCTGATAGCAACGGGTACACGGGAGTTTCTCACAAATTCCCAAAACCGCACCCACCCTAAACTTTAACCCTAAATCCTAAGCCTCAGGAAGATGGGGAGATAAAAAGGTTGCGCAGGGTGCCCTCTCAACAAGGAGTTTTGGAGGTGCCGTCCCCCAAAGTCTAATAATGTTTAGCGCTCCTTTTCGCGCAAGGACCATCAACCTACCAAATCACCACCTACCCTGCCTACGGGTCCAAAAGTACGTAAGTCTTGGGGGTTTAAGGTACCAAAAAACCTTTCAGATTTCATTATTTGGTGCAGTAAACCCGATTTATTTAGGTGCTTGGACTCTTGGACCAAATTCTGCGCTAATTGTCCAAGTACCTGCCCAAAACCTATACTGTTGTTAGTATTACCCAGAACCCAAGTACCACATAGTTGGGTACATAAACCCTCTGGGCTAGGCCCTTAGGGCTAGCGGCCCAGTTGCCCGCAAAAACCGATTCCAGTTCCGTATGGAACTTTTCCAAGACTGATGGGTCGCTTCCCAGCGAGTCCGAGAATAATGTAGACCCCTGTTTCATAAACCCCTTCCCCCCCTTTAACGTTAAGGCCCTTAAAAGCAAAAGGAGGGGAGGGTATTTTTCATGTGTCTACATTACCCCTTTGATCAACAGTCTTTCCAAAGTATGCTATACCCTAAATGATGCCAGGACCTGTTATATGATATAGGGTTCAGGGTCTTATGAGCCATGTTACTGAATTAAGTGGTTTTGGGCTCCCTGAGTTTCAGGAATGCGGCGTTCGGGGGTTTATGGGAGGAGGAGGCCTATAATCCTAAACCTTAAACCCGAAACCTACGTTAAATCCCAAAGCTGGAATCCTAAACCCAAAGCCCTAAACAAGAAAGCCTAAGCCCCAAACCCTAAACATTAAAGCTTATAAACTTTAATGTTTTTGGGTGTATGAGCTGTTCTGTTTTTGTGTTTATAAGCTTCTTTCGTCATTAAAAAGCTTATGAACCCAAAGCGTTAAAGCCTAAACCGAACCCCATGCGGTTAAACTTTGGAAGCGGACCCTAACCCTAAGGGTCCATGTACCCAATAATTGGATACTTGGGATTTGGGTAATAGTAACTATAGTAATGGTTTTGGGTAAGTATATGATTCTTAGGTACTTGGACCCTAAACCCTAAACCCTAAATATTGGGTACTTGGACCCTTAGGGTAAAGGGTCTGTCGAAATCGGGCTGCTCCTGCTCACCCCGAAAGGGGTTCAGGGGTGTTTAGGGTTTAGGGTTTAGGGTTTGGGGTTTAGAGTTCAGGGTGTAGGGTGAGACAACCTGTCCTTTTTTCTCCTGCATGCATCCAACGAACCCCGGCAGCCCAGCTACCCTTAAGCGTCCAAGTACATACTTGGATCCTCAGCAGTTTGGTATTCGAAATTGTAATGCAGGCTGTACGGAAGGATATGATTGTGAATACTTGGACCCTTTTTGGGTACGTACTGGCATACTTGTCGTCCAGCAATCATATGCGAGCAGTACCCTGGCGGGCGTGCAGAGGGGCTGATGCTGTATGGGGCATGACGAAGACATGTCAGCTACCCTAAACCCTAAACCCTAAACTTATTGGGGGGGTGTTCTGGCAAAACCTGAACCACATGCCTCCAGGACATAATTGCCTGCAACTCTAGGCCCCTACACCCTAAATCCTCTTAAACCCCTGGTCATAGGCATCTCCACAAGATTCCTAGGTAGCCTGAATCTGAAGAGCCTTCAAGGGCACACTTATTACGGTTTAGGGTTGAGGGTGCCGCAAAGTACCCTATGGGTCCGAGTGCCCAAATCACCGGGTTTTAGTTCGAAAAGCTATATAGATGATAGTGTTTGCGGCTGAGGTCCCGTAATTTTGTACCTGGACTGTTAGAGTGGTTCACCCGAACGTCATTACAACCCTAAACCCGAAACCCTAAAGTTGTTTTGACTGCTTAGCTTTCACATCTTCAACCCAACCTGATTTGGCAGACAGATGTCACCAAAGATTTCGCAGAAAAGCTGAATGCTGCAGCTCAGCTGCAAGACGCAACATGGGCTATTGTCCAAACTCCCACTATCCCCCTTAATAATGGAGAATCAAATGGAAAAGAAAATGGAAAATGAAGTGGAAGCTGCTATATATTATAGGGTTATGTAAGGGATTGTAGGGGATATGGTCTAAACTCCCACTATGCCCCTTAATAAGCCTTGTAGTAGTCCCCTAAATAACCCCCTGTAAGGAGTTTAGACTATAGCTCGCATGGTTTCCTTTGCGCAAACGCCCGGAAAAGACTGTTGCGCGGTGTTGTTATGCAAAAACCTCCAAGGTTGAAGTACGCAGCTACTGAGTGTGTAGGCTCCAAATGCTATATCTGGAACTGTTTGGGTACCTGAAGTCCGAACCCTGAAGACTACAATTCACTGCCCATGACCCCTCTCCAAAATAGATCCCAAACAGAGCCTGATTAGGGCAAATGTTTAGCCCTTGCGATTCTGACAGGGTACATTAGCAAGGGGCAGCAAACATCTTCTCCCCTAAAACGTAGTTGCTAAACCCTAAGGGTGAAAACAAAACCCTAGACACTGAATCCCAACCCTCAACCCTGAATCCCAAAACCCCAAACCCGAAATCCCCTTGTCGTCCCCATCTATATGAGCTATAGTCTAAACTCCTAGTATCCACCTTAGTAACCCCTATAGTAGTCCCCTATATAATCCCCCATATAACACCCCCTTAAGGAGTTTAGACTATGGCTCATATGGGCTCCGAAAACTGAGCAGGTAATCAAGAGTGGCTACTCTTCTTCCTCATGGCCAGTGCCCCTGGTAACTGAGACACGCTGCCCTAAGGGTCCAAGGACCCAAATAATAGGGCTTTAGGGCCCAAATACCATTAATAGTATTGTATTTGGGCCCTAAAACCCTATTATTTGGGTCCTTGGACCCTTAGGGTGAGACAAGCTGGGGCTTCGAAGGTGTGAGGTTTAGGGTTGAAGGGTTTGAGGGTTTAGGGTTTAGGGTTTATATAAGGTTTGAGGGTTTAGGGTGAAGGTGTAGGATGTAGGGTTTAGAGTTTAGATACGGGCGACCTGCAAGTTTGTGGGGGAAGGGGTTAAGAATCCAATGCTTGGGTAAGGTTCGGCGTTAGGGTGGTGGTGGGTCGAAGTATGCAAGAGTCGGATAATAGGGTCTTTGGCGGCAAGATGGGTTAGGATTTGGCGTTTAGGGGTTTTAGGGTTTACTGTGAGTTTACGAAGCGGGACTAACTACCTGTCCGTTATGTCATGCTTTGGAGGCTCGTATGGCTGTCACTTAATTGCTTTTTGCAACGTTCTGAACGCCAAGTCCAACACCCGAAAGGGCACAAGTGGTGACCCTAAGGTCTCGGAAGATAATTAAAACGTTGGGACATAGAATGCACCTGTATAAGTCATTGAAACCACCCCATCCACAGACTAATCGCCAAATGGGCCCTACTAAGACTCAGATTACATTTTTACGCAGGGCTCGATGGGTTCTGTGTTTGGGGCACGGCTTAAGGTTTTGAGGGTCGCCTGCAAGGATTCCAGTGCAATAAAACGGTGATCGGTTGTGGTCGTTGTGAGGATGAATACCCAGGAGAATCAGGCACTGATGCGACCCTAGCCGTTCTGAAATCAGACGGCACGGTCTGGACATCGGCGGGCAACCTGCCAGACGACGTGCGCCATGTCGTGCAGATTGTGGCCACAGTAGACATGTTCGGCGCCCTCCGCAGTATGGCTGCACTCATTTTGGACCTATGTTTCCCGTCGCTCAGTTCTTTCATCCAGCATTCAGGAGACGACGGCAGCGTTGTCTGCTGGAGACCCGGCCTGGAGCCGGTTTTCACTAACCTTTCGCGGATCTTGGGACTCCGGTCGTCCAATGCAACCGTCCAAGCACAGGGCTTGGATGGCATGTGGGCTGACGCTTCTTAGATGCATACCTATAAAACCGAGTAGCCGATATTTTCCTGCTACTTTTGAAGTGTTTGCTTTTGGGCTTGATTTCAGGCACTGAAGGAAAGTAGCCGGTTTTCGGGGTCTTGAGGAGTTCTCATGTTTTGGCAACATTTCGAATGAGATGTCATAATGAGGCTTGATATTAAGGACAAAGGTGCAAAGATGGCTCAAAGAGTTGTCTTTTCATGAAGTTCCACTGTATGTACGAAAGCCTATACCATGTATACATGAAAATACAAGAATAAATGAGGTACCCCTATAATGAGTCAATCCCAAGCCCTGCAAACCTGGAGGCCTCCGAAGAATCAACCATTACAATTCCGAAAATCCTGACACCCGAAACCAGAAAAACTTGAAACCCATCAAGCAAATCCCAGCATTTCCCATCCTGCCACGTGGCGATGCTGCTTCGAACGTTGGAGCAACAGGACGCTGGGGTTGGGCTAGGTAATCTTGCAGTCAGGCCGAAGTTTTTTTGGGGGGATAGCCTTCTATTAGGTGATTCTCATAAGGCATCCTCATACCCCTAGCTGTCCCAGTGCGCTCGCAAAAGCAACAAGTACTTCTGTACCGTTCGTGTGTGAATTGTTCGCGAACTCACTTGCCTACTGGCAGTGGAAATTTTGCCTACAAAATCCTCATCTAACTGCGTGGCCCACGAAAGTGGGTTCATAGCGGGAACGTCAAGTTCCCTGGCTTCTTGCAAGCTGTACAACACTTCGGCGAAGAAATGATACTTGGGTTGGTACTTCCATCTTGTGTAACCCAAAGAAAATGCAGTGTCAGCCAAGCGTTGGAAAAAGTTTACGCTGGCTAGCCCATCGCAAATTAGCGCATCCCGCTCAGCATCTAAAAGCCAAAGCCCAGAATGATGCAGTGTGTGCATGAAAGCGCTGGCACTTTTGAGGGCTCCCACCATGTCACTCACGTAGTCTTTCCAAGTTTCCTCAATCCCAGGAAGGCGTTCCTGTAGTCTAGCTTCCATGTACAAGCAGAGGGTGACCGTGTCCTGACCCTTGAACCATGACCTTTCATAAACAATTAGGGACTTCACAATAAACCTTTGAAGAATAAGTAAAACTTGAACATCGTAGCAACAGCAAAATCAACAGAATCCTAACGCGGTTGGGCTTCGCTGCTGGATAATCTCCTGATTTCTTGTAACCCAACAATGATCGGGTGAGGGCGTTCATGTGCAGCTGCAGGCTTCTCTGCTTGCAGAAGCCTCGAAGATCATTGTAGATATATTCCAGCAGCTTGTCAATGGACAACTTGCCAAAAATGTTCAAGTCGTAGCATGACACCTGAGTTAGTGCTATACGTGTTTGGGGCATATAGGGTCTTTCTGAAGAATATATGGGCCATTTATGTTGCTGGATTTCTGCTGAGTTTCTCCTGAAAAAAAGGCGCTTGTCTTACTTGATTGGGGCATTGCTAGCAGTACCAAAGAACCTCTAGCAAAGGCCTTATGCATGCATACCTATCTTTCCGACAATTCTCACACCACGCAGAACCGAAAGGTATACCCCTCTCACATAACATTTTCTGGGCAAGATTCCGGTAAATAAAATTACACTCTGTCTATAACACCGTCAGGATGTTGATTTCATACTATAGGCATCGTTGGGAAAGGTGTGCTGAATGCGGGGGAAAGAAGTACACAATAGGGTTCCTGATCGAGAGACAACACAGTTCGCAGCAATGTCCCCGAAGACACCCTTCAGCAAAGTATGGAATAGGTCCACGCAGAAAAATTGTGCTTTGTGGGAAGGGCTGTGAGGCAGCTGGGCAACCAAACTTGGTTCCTCCTTCCACGGTGGAGGAACGTCTTTCTTCATTGCCTTCATGGCACAGTACTCAGTGTTGTGCCAGGGCATTCCCTCTTGCCCCGCGCGGCACAAATGACAAATCCCTGGCCCATTTCCGGTAGCAGTGTCCCGCATGAAGTTGCGAGAAAGCTTTCCAACCTTGATGAGTCCTTGAAGATCGCCCTTGAATCCGAGACAAATGAGGTGAACTTGTTTGGTCCAAGAAACTCCTTCGATAGGAATTGGCTTGTCGTAGCATGTCCGTAGGTCCTTGGCAAGGTGATCGATCAGCCTGTGCAAGGGTTCGTTCTTTTTGGATTTGCCACTGTATTCCTTGCCCTGCAGAACGCTATAAAGAAACCGCGTTGTTACGCTCACGCCCAGCATGTTCACATCGTCAGCTCGTGAGCTTCCCCATCCCAAAATTGGTTGCCATTGCAACACCATCAAGGGCTTTTTCTTTTGGGATGTTCCCTCATCCCCAAAACAAAATATGGGAATGCAACTGGAAAGTTTTCGACGATGGGATTCAAAGACTGGATGCTCTGGTTGAATGAGCCTCCAGTGAGCCCAAAAGTCTGCATAGTCCTTGCCATCATGGTTGCAAAAAAGCAGTTTAAGCTTTTCATGCGAAGACAAGCCAGTCACAAAATCGCGGGGTCGAAGCACAGGGTGCTGTCCACGGGCACCAATATCCACATTCGCGATGGGGATGTTGGCCGAGAGGCTATACTTTGCAAATAGGTTCACAAGTTGACAACCATGGCCAGTTTCATGTAGCCGCGCAGCATCTCGGACAAAGTGAGCACTTTCCCAGCTGGGTTCCCCTTTTTGAGGTTCCAGGCAAGAGACCTCCGCCCAAATCGCAGACGCTATAGAGCACGCTTCATTTTCCGAAACCTTGACCACGGGAAGTTCTACATTTAGGGGGTTTTCAAGTACAAAGGCCACTATACATATACATATTCTTTGAATGAACAAGTTTGGGGGGTAACTTTGTTATACTAAGACATAACCCGCCTCAATCCACAAAACGTTCAACACAGATCTACGTCACTTTATGTTACAATATCCTAAACTGAAGACCAGCCCAGAAACACCTTTGGCCACAGCTTTCGCTAAAGACTTCCCCACAGGACCCACAACACATCTCTGCTTCGACAGCGGCCATGTACCTGCGGAGGCGAGGAATTATTCATATTTTGTAGAGGCTGTATTTGGAGCTCATTGACAGCAGACATGTCAAATAGCATTTTTTGACTAGCACACCCCACGCGCTGCAGGCAGTTTGAGTATAATTGCCAAGAAAGCATAGACAAACACATCCTTGACTGGCGCGCAACACTAGCTTGAGCTTTGGAGGGTTGTGAGAACTTTCGATCAAGCTCTGTGCTAGCAATGCTAGCCCTACGCAGTGCGCATTCGCACTGGGCATCAAAACACAAGTGCTTCAATCATACCAGTAGCGACGCTGGCATCTTCTCACGCCTGCGCAGGCCAGGGATATTAAATGGGAATATTTATTAGTTTGGGTTTGGGGCTTCATTATTTGGAGAAAATAGATATGTAAAGTCTTTGTGCCTTCTTGGCAGACTTGTTGGTGTTCCCGGCGGAGCCCTTTGCTCCTTTTCCCTTGCCCTTCCCGCGACCTTTGCCAGAAACACTGGTGTCCTGCAAGCATGATAACCATTGTAACACGAGCATCATGCGTTGGGAAGATATAATTAAACATTCAGACACCCAAGCCTCCACCCCGAAAATCCTAAAATCTATAAGTAAGATGATCAGGGGGATGTATGGTGCGAAAGCAGTCTGGCTCACGCAAGTCCTTCGGCACAGGCGGCGCGGGCTTCCCTTTCAAGATCGTCCTGTTCAGGAGCCGTTGTTTTTGGAATCAGTACATACATAGAACTGATTATAAGGCTGGGACTTCTTGACTTTGACATCTTCCATGATTGCACGGGAACACCTAAAGCGAACTTGCGCAAGAAGAATTCTCAAGGAATTCGTGTCAGCCGTGGAAGCTAAGTCCCTTGCACCATCTCGATCTGCTTCATGTGGGTTTCCAACTCATTCAGCTTCCTCATATTAGCTTCGTAACTGATTTGCTGAGGGCCATTAGCTGTGCATCATTGTATGAACATGGGGGTTGGTGTAGTCAAGTTACTCCGGCGTAGCTTCTCCGTGCCCATCGAAATAGGATTTCAGATCAGCCACCTTGTCATGAAGCGCCATGAGCTTGCTGGAATGCTCCTCGATCTTCTTGACGGACCTCAGCCATATGAAGATATGTAAGTCCCCTAGCCAGGTTGCTAGAACTTGTATGGAATTGGAGACGTGGAGAAGTTTATCGACGCAGCAAAACCTACAAATATTTCAGCTACTGCATGCCGCCCATAAGTGTAGCAAGCTACGTTGCAGCTTCGGAAGACTTCACCTCTGCCAACTTCTCTGCTGTCGCTTGCAGCCTGCCCCTGGTCTTCAGGAGATTCGGCAGCAGCTTCTCCACATTGTCCACGGCCTACACAAGGCCAGGCCCTATTCCGCATTTTGATGGCTTACAGTAAGGATGGACACATAGTTTTGCTTGTGGGATTTATGGGATTTCGGGCGACGAGCTGTACATAAATGGTTGCGTAGAATTGCATTCTCCATTTTTTAAATTGGGGATCATATCTAAAAAGCTAGCAAAGAACCTGATAATTTTTTGGCGTTGCTTCAGCCATGAAGGAAAGATCGAGCCATGGTATGGCGGATGAAAACTAGGAAATAATGGAACTGTTCCTATGCACATCATTCCCTTTAACCCTGAGAAGCCTCCAAAGCACGTTCTTCCTCCACCTCATCTTTGGCCGGGGCCTTTTGCTTTCTCTTGGCTTTGCTGGACTGCTTTGTGTCTGTGGACTCAGCATCAGACTCATCATCCATATCATCGTTGCCCCCGCCCATCATCCCAGGGAGATCATCAGTCTCCACCCCACCCGTGGTAAAGGACGAGGCCGTCCCTTCGCCGTACGTGTTCTCCCACAGCTCCTCGCCTTCCTCCTTCTCGTGCTCGCCTACTGTGCCATGCTCGATCCAGAACTCAAGGACCTTCTTTTGATATTTGTCGCCTGCAGAGGATGTGTGAAAGGAATGATTTTGACTAACACGTGATTGCTGATGAGCTTACCAAGCCAAAGCCTGACGTGGGTAGCCCTCCGGCACGGGGCCAGACAATAAGCCGCAGCATCTTTCACCCGGTCCCTCAGCCAAGAGCGAGAGGTTTCAAGGACTAGCAACCCAAACCCTAAATGCGCGTAGGCCCCTGACTTGTCCCAGTTCAATAGCAATCTCATGGCCGTCTTGGAGTACCAACCAACTTGGACCCTGAGGCGGTTCGTCTTCTTCATCTTACGGTAGTGCTCGACCTTCTTGACGAAGACATCCTCCGCAGAGGCCAGGATATTCAGCAAGGGGATTGTTATTCTAATAGGTATAGTGAATGCGGGAACAAAAGGTCAACATAATAATTGTGTAGCTAATGAAGCAGTCCTTCTTTGCATCGCATTGCATCAAGACACACAATAACGCTTTCCGCGCTTGCCCGCCCTTCTTCCACTGCTGGTAGATCTCTGGGGAAACATCCAACTTGTGGGATCGTGCTTTTGGGGTGCAGATACGACGCAGCATGGCATCCAAAGCGGCCATCTGCTTGGTCTTCGTTGTCTTTGCCACAATTGTAGCAGCTTCCTAGACAGGGCAAAGTGTGGAATATTCAAGGTACTCGAGGTTGACGAGGATTCAGTTTTCAAACCAAGCCTTCTGCTTGGGCTCTTCTTTCACAGTACCAGCAGGCGGCGCCTGCAAACAGCAACAGCATTAGGGTGCGTGTAGATACAATCCAACTCTATAGAGATTCATCAACACTGCTGGCCTCGGAAGCCTTCTGAGACTTCTGAGCCTTGCTCTTGTTGGAGGCGTCCTGTATGGCAGCCACACACCGGTGCTAGCTCGGCTTGAAACTTGAACAGAAGTGGTATGCCTCTGTACAATTGAGGATGGTTGCTGCCTCCCTAAACCCTATAAACCCTATAAACCCTAAACCCTAAACCCTATAACCCTAAACCAGAAAGAAAGATCAAAAGAAAGCCAGGGGGAAGGAAAGAAACGGAGAACACGCTAGAGTGAGGGTTCGAGAGCATGATTGGCATTACTTGTGCCAATGTCTGTAGACAAAATATGCTGTAGCCTATTCATGGGGATGAGTCTATTTGGGTGGTTATACATAGAAAGGGTTCCAAGATGCAAACGAAATCTGGTCGGCATTTGCGGGATGGGGCTATAGCGTGCGCATACAGTTTGGGGACAGAGAGCAAGACACGGAAAGACAGAGAGACAGAGAACCAGGGAAAGAGAGAAATAGGACGAGAGAAGAGAGTCGCCAAACCGAAAGCAGAGAGGTGATAAAAACTCAGAGGAACAGCGACAAGCGTGGTGAAGTAATGGAGTCAAATATTATTTGCAACGATGGCAATCCTTTGCTGCAGGCGGCGGCGGGGAGCTCGAGGTCGAAGGTGTTTTCGTGGAGGCAGGGCTCGAGTGGGTGGATTCTGTTGGACGAGGGGAAGTAGATGGCGTGGGCGTCTGCTCAAACTTGAGGGCTTTGGCAGGAGGGCTATTGTTCCCAGTCATTTCAGACACGCGCTTTCTAGCAGCCTTAGTGTGTCATTCTCAAAGACATACATATACAAGCTTGCCACGCAACCAACATTGGTATTACTTTCATATACTGAGGACATAATACGGCCAAGGGAACGGCTATCAACTCTTCAGTGGTCATTTTCCCATTGACAGCTTGTTGCTCTGCCAAGAAAGAACACCCTCTGAGGAGTGTGTCGCACGACCAACCTTTGGAGATCATGGACACTTGGGACGGGCTTGAAGCGCCTGACATAGCGCCTGCTCAACCCCAACGCACTTCATGAAGCACCGCCTAAATGGCTGCACATATGACACATGCTCCCCCAAACAATTCATGTACTCATGCTGAGATTGCAGAATCAAAGACTTCGCGATAAACGCGGCCATTTTTCTAGGTATTTCTTTGCAAAGGCTCCACACACATGCCCTTGGTTGTTGGCAGGTTTCCTGCCTCCAATTGGTGCAGAGCTTGAGGTGCTCATGGGACGGGTTTTCATTTCCAGGATTCTTACGTGCTGGTAGAAGCGGTTCATAAAGGGAAATATTGGGTTGAAACTCTTAAAACTTCTATTCGGGCTTGAAATTTCCTGAATTCTCGGGTTAGTGAAAGTAGCTGTTTTTTGGCATAGATTTCCTACTCTTTTTTATGGCACTTTACGCCGGATTTACGGCACTGCACGTCAATTATGGGCACAGTGACCATAATCCAGGGTTTTCGTAATTTCGGTTACAGAATGGATTTGGTCTGACAAACAACTCGATTATTTTCATTCAGGTTCTTACAGAACCCGAACCCCACAGGCACCGAACCATCAGCATTCTTGCGTCTAATAACACAAGAGCAAGGTCCACCCCGAAGTGGTCCAATTTTGGAGAGCAACTCTTGTAGCAACCTGAAGGCAGCCTTACATAGGAGAGCCAGAAACAAGCCCTTACCTATAAGTTTCTCTAGCGCATGGGAGCAAAGCAGAAATCCTTTTCATAGAGGGTCGCTCAACCACTTCGGGGGGACATAAAATCATGCCAGTCCTTTGGGAGCGCTAGTCCAGCCCCTCCTCGCAAATTCCGTAAGACCTCGTAAGTCTTGGCGTCTCGCCAGAAGTCCTCGAACAGTGCGCTTTCGCAGAAGAGGCGGGAGGCTGTGATCTCTTCGGGCAGCGGAGCCTGATTGTTGGGTTTCTCATTAGCTTGTTGAGGAGGGGTTTACAGGTGGATTGGTTTACGGGAGCCTTGCAGACTTCAATGGGGTTCTACACAATCATCTGAAAAGACTTTCTATGAATGTATAGTCGGAGCTACTGGGCCCCAAAACGGTTCTTCTCTTTCCTTCTCAAAGAGATTGCGTCGCACCAGGTTTGCAAAGCGCAGCCCAAATCCGATAGGATACTGCCTTAGCGTCCCAAAACCACGCACGCCCGTCAGTGGTACCCCCAGCTATAGTGTATCTACTTCAGATGTATTTCTGTGTTGGGATACACACACACAACAAAGGGTTTTCCTTAATTATCAAACAGGTACTGAATCTGTAAATTAAGTCACTGGGAACTTTTGAGCCGTGAATTTCCCTGCCATTTCTTCTTACCATGTTTGTCAAGATAGCTGTTGGCCAAAGGCCCAACCGAGCGTCCTCTTGAAAAACTTGGATGGGTCCAGAACTTTCGGATAGCACGGCTGTTGCTCCAAAGTGTGGTAGCCTTTGGAGACCTACCACCCCAACCTCTCATCCAGAACCGCTGTTTGAAGACCTGGGCAGGGGCAGGCTTTTGGGGGGGGCTTTTGCAAAGCTCACAGACGTTGTATTCACCCCAGGGTTTTTGAGGCTCACTAGGCTATATCGAAGTTTATACAGTGGGGCCCTTGTAAACTTGTTTCCTCCAGAAAGTGGCTTTACATTGCACTGAGCATGCTTTCTTGGGTGGGCCCAATAAGCCTGAACAAGGAGCAAATAGACCCAGAATTCCATAGTATAGTGGGTATAGTATTTGGCCTTGTAAGTACCAAGCAACCTTAGTCATTCGAAGAAGTTGCTGGAAACGAGGCAAACGAAAGACCAGCGAAGACGCTGCTTGCTCAAGCACCCAGCATCCTCCGCAGGCCTGGATGAGGATCATGGCCAATATGGTCCTACGCAAGGCGTGGGTGGATTGTCAGGGAGCAAAGAAGTTTATCATCGATTCGAGCATCTTAGGAGATTAGTGCCAGCAGTCCGGGAAGCAAGTAGATTTCCGAGCACCACTGATTTGGAGCTCTCGTCCCCCAATGGGAGAAAGTAGTGGCGATGGGTGCTTCCTCTTGATACCGCGACAAACGAGGAGCACACTAAACCAAACGTAATCACAAATGGCGGCTTGCAGCGTAGGATTGTCGAAAGAAGGAGCCTCGGCGTAGCACTATCTACACAAGGCTATATAGGTTCTCTCTTTGTTGCCCCAGTAAGATCCTACAGAAACGATCATGTATCAGAAGAGAAGGCGTATACATTCAAAACCAGGGTGCGCAAATGCAGCGGGCTTTGTCAGGTCCAAGCAATTGCCGCATTTCATCGGCCTTCCTTCTTTAGATCGTCTCTCTTCAAATTTTCGCCAATCAAGAATATCAAGGCTGGCAACAGCATACCCCTGCCATCGGAGACACTCGCTGACAACTGCTTCACCGCTAAAGACTTCCACAGCGTCGTAGATCTTCAGGGGCAGGGGTCATTAATATTTTGGGAGAACATATCAACATGGTTGAATGCTTCGCCGTATTGCTGGAGTCAAAGGCTTTTCACAATAAACCCTCGCATTCCACCGTGGCCTGCTCCCAATGAATGCCTTCGGAACACGCGAGGAGAACAATCATCATCATGAGAACCTGAGCGATGGCGATAATAATAGGGTACTGTATGGTTTGGGTTGGAGTTTAGGGTGTCATAGGAGATCTATATATATATATACATAGGGATCAGGGTAACCGTTAGAGGGGTATATAGGCCAAAGTGCAGTTCGAGCACATTTCCCTTGATAGTCAGGCGTGGGAAGACAAGGCTAGAGGGGATGTATATATACATGATATGATATGATATGATATCCCAAATGGGGCCTGTTGAGTCCTGTGAAACGCTTGCGTGAAGCTTGGCATGTTTGGAAAAGTATAGAGCCCAGCACCCCGTATAGGAAGACCCAGTACCCAAGACCATAAAGGGAAGAAACAGAAGTCAGGAATTTCTAGCCCATGTACTTTGGTATCAGCCAACCACCTATACATGGATATACTATTGTACATATCTTTATATATATGCATGGGGGATCTTTTGCAAACTCACCTTATGCTACAAACAAATTGTCAATAGGCATCAATTCGTTGATGTGTTTTGGGGAAGAAGTAGAAGAGCAAATAAAACCACAGAATATTCAGAACATGCGCCTATACAGTCGTTTAATTTACATTCAGCCCCGCAGCGGCGGGGGCCCCAGCAGCCCACAACCGGTGCAAGTGTTGCTGAAGCGTACTTTCAGTCATCACCATTGCTAGCAGCCACAGCGCAGGAAGTACAAAGGAATGCACCCCAAGACTGAAATCAA